TTATTTTTGAATGACCAATCCGAAAATTGGCTAGCCCGTACTATTTTTACGCTTGGTGTTTGGTCTGAAATTAAACGTGGGTTTTGGGTCCACAAACTCAAAGTGAAGGACTTTTTAACTTATTCAATCCCATTGGTGAACAAGAGTCTTGACCCTTTATTTCTGTTAAGTTTCTTTTTAGGAAAATCTCGTGTATGCATAGAAACACCTGAAATATAATATTGGAAGATTTATCTTGTACCAAGTAATCACTTTAAGTTTTGTTATACATTTTTAAAGTTTTAAATATCATTATATAACTCTCTATCAAAATATTCTATAATTTAAGGGATTAACATTTTAACTGCACTCACATTTTACCTGTTCTCTCTCTCACCTCTTATCACAACCCAAATCCAAAATAGACGAGATAAAATAATGTTGGCATGCGGACTCGAGGGATAAAATTTCTCCAAATTCGAATAGTGGAGAGATAAATTTGATTCAAATGAGGGGAGAATACAACTGAGTTAGAGATAACTTTCCGCATGGTATATCACGTGAAAAATTATCATAGCGCTTTTGGGAAATTACCAGTTATATCAGGCCATAAGTAAATGGACTTTTTCACTCCTATACACTATTGAAAACTTTATTACCCTAAGGGGTCGTTTGGTATGAGGTATAAGAAGGTATAAGGGTGGTATAAAAATTTAATATCACCTTAATACTCTGTTTGGAGGGCCTATCGGAAACAGCCTCTCTGCCCTATCGGGTAGGGGTAAGGTCTGCGTACACATTACCCTCCCCAGACCCCACCTGGTGGGATTTTACTGGGTAGTTGTTGTTGTTGTTGTTGTTAATACTCTGTTTGGTTAGCAAACCAGGTATAAGTTATCCCGGTATTAATTTTAACACTGGGATAACTTATACCTTATAGAAGGTGGGGTAATTAGCACCGGTATGACTTATACCTTCTTCTTAGAAATTATGCAATTGTCATTCTTAATGCAACATACCAAACAATGAATAAACAACAATTCCAGCATAAGTAATCCCAGCATAACTTATCCCAATATAACTTATACCGGTATAAATCATATTCCAACCAAACGACCCCTAAATGTTCATGTTTAGTAAATTACCCTACCTACACAAGTTTTGTTTACAAAATATATACATTCCACCTTAAAAGGCTTCTATTCCATTATTAGTGCCTTCAATTAAGGGATTTAGTTACACCCTTTTTCTTTTTTTTTTCTCCTCTTCTCTTTCCATATTTTTCAACAATCGTAAACTGGGCAGGGAGATTTCAGGGGAGAGGATATATACGACATAAAAATATAAGAAAAATAGCAAAATAGCTGAACTTAATATTCCAGGAAGATATCTACAAAAGCTTGTAAATATTTCTGGTTCATTCTTAGGAAAACAAAAAGGTAAAAGACAATTATAAAACTTTGTTTGATTAATAATAAAGAATTAGACCAAACATAGTGGCCCCTTTAGGTGCTTTCAAGCCATCTTGCACTCAGAAGAATGCCGGTGTACAACATTTATTTTTCTTTTAAAAGGTCAAGCAAAACTATTGAAATGGCTAAATTTTTGTCAAATTTTGCATAAGTGCATAAATGAATATGCAGAAGTATATGAACTCCATGCTTTAGAGTATATGTTTATTAAAATATAGTTTTAGGTTTTCAATATCGGGCATGTGCGTAGTATGGGCTTCACCTTCGCTAGTATATCATACAAATAACTCTTCAATTTTAGTTTTCTTTCGGACAAGTGCATTCCTATAAATTGCACAAAGAAATGGCGATACTTAGTGAAAACTCTCTCTACACCTGAACCCAACGGCTATTTCTTAAAAATCCGTCCCTCTCACGCGCCACTAGATGGAACCGCCAGACGGCGCCGCTCCGACGCGTCTGGGTGGTCAACCGACTCCTTCTAACACGGCGATCCAACCCTCAGATCCAATTAACACAAAATTAGCTTATGCAATAAAAGTCATTTCTTCATCGAATGCTCCGACTCCTTCAAACTGCCATGGCAGGGAGGCTGTAATTGCGACTCACACAACGCACAACGGCATGCCGCCGGTTTTATTTAAAGCAACGGATTATTATGGTGTTATGGCTGAGGAGTGCAAACTCACAATTGTAGGAAGATTCCTCAAGCCAAGGCCCCAAATTGACAAAATTAGGTCAAAATTCAAGGAATTAATATCGATTAAGGGCTCTGTCAAGATTGGGGTCTATGATATGTATAATGTGTTCCTAGATTTCACTAATGAAGATGATTTTAATTTCGTCTGGTTTAGAAGAGTTATCGAGATTGAAGGTCAGCAAATGTGGCTTCAAAAGTGGTCGCCGGATTCAAGGCGGAGGAAGATTTGTTGATTGCTCCGGTATGGGTCCTCCTCCCCGGACTTCCTTTTCATATGCACACTTGGAATTATGTTAAACAAGTGGTGAGTGCAATTGGCACTCCCCTTGAAATGGATTTAGCGACTAAGGGAAGAACAAGGCCTAGTATGGCCAAAGTAAGAGTTGAAATCGACTTGTTGAAAGACCAACCGAACTCTGTCTACGTTGGTCAAACATATGACAATGCACCTCAAAAAGGCTTTGTGCAAAAAATAGAATATGAGGGTGTACCTAAATATTGTAAGTTCTGCCGGAAATTGGGACATAATTTGATTTATTGTAGAGCTTTAGAGAGGAAAAAAGCTGCTGAAAATAGGGATCTAGATACCCTAAAAGCTGCTGAAAATCAGAATGAGGATAACAGGGGAATTGTTGATCGAAATTTGGAAGATAATACTGCTCTTAACAGGCGAATTGGGACTGAACATGCTGTTAAACAGAGTGAACATGCTGAAAATCAGAATGAGGCTACACAAATTGATCAAAACATGAAACTGTTAAATAGAGGAATGGTTACTGTTGCTGCTACACATACTGATCAAAACATGAAGTTGTCAAACAGAGGAATTGTTACAGCTGCTACTACACAAATTGATCAAAACAGAGGGACCGAATCTGCTGATGCCTTCAACAGAGAAGCTGCTAAACAAATTGATCAAAAAAGAGGGACTGAACCTGCTGAATCTACTACTGCTGTGAACACTGGCAGACTGAAAACAGAATCACTCCAAGGCAGAGGAGTGAATTTGATTCTGATAATCACCTCCACCAGCCATCAAGCAACATAAGGGAGAGATCTAGGAAAAAAACCAAAAAAAGAAAACAGGAAAAACTTCCTAAGAAAAAAGCCAAAGTCATTTTCAAACTAATGCTCTACGTATCTGATGATCGTAGCAGGAGGAAGAAACATAACAAAGAGTTAAGTTTGGCCCTTCAAAACCTGAACTAGAACAATACCATTGAAAATGATATGAATGCTCAAGGGAAGCCTAAGGAAGATGAGCAGAGAGATCAAGCTAAGGCATCCAATGATCATGCTAAGGTTGTTAACGGCCAAACCAAGGCTGTCAGTGAGCAGTTGTCTTTGAGAATTAAGCTACACAGGGATATGCAGGAGGATACTGAAAATAGAGCTACAAAAGAAGATATGCAGAAGTCCATCCGAGAAAATGTTAGTCAGAATGTGAAGAGGGATACTGAAAACAAAAAAATGCAAAAGAGTGCGTTAAACATAAGTGATTATGTCAATGAATCTACTAGTATGCCTTCTGAAATTCGAAATCTTCCTAGGATTGAGATGGTAGTTGATCTCAATATGGAATCCAAATCAAAACAAGAAAGATATGTGACTAGTCAACAAATAGAGGTGACATCTCCTAATAGGGTGACTGTAATGGTTCCTGAAGACCAAATACAAACTGATTCAAAGGATGAATCTTTGCAGATCATATGCTCCAAAGAAAGGAAAAAGAAAATAGGAAAAAAGAACAAAAGCAAAGATACTACACCTCCTAAAGAGGGACACTCATGCTAGCCTGAACTATTTCAATGATAAATGTTATTTTTTGGAACATTAGGGGTGTGAATACCAAAAAAGCCTTACCAAGGCTAAAAAAATTGATCTCTATCTATAAGGTGGAACTAATTGCTATTATGGAACCTTTTGTTAGTACTATTCAAATAGAAAGGTGCAGGAGGTTCCTTGGTTATCAATACTGTATTTCTAATTCAAATGGTCAGATTTGGATCATGTGGTCAGGCAACAACATGACTACTATACTGAGCAACCATGATCAACAACTTACTATCAAATTGCATTATGGGGCTGCCAGCAGTGATCTCTACATCACAACAGTATATGCTAAATGTACTCCTGAAGAAAGGAGAGAGCTATGGAATAGTCTTGAGTTAACCAATCTTCATGTGAACGGTCCATGGTGCATTGGAGGTGATTTTGATGTCATTCTGGATCCCGATGAGAAAAAAGGTGGCAGACCTCAGAGAATGAACAAAAGTCTAGAATTCAGCAATTGCATGGATAACTGTGGTATGATGGACTTGGATTTTGTTGGTCCAAAATACACATGGTGTAACAATTGGGAGCCAAGAAGAAGAATATGGAAGAGATTGGATAGAGTTTTTATCAATGATGATTGGTCCCAAATTTTTCAAAATAATATTGTCAACCACTTGGCTAGAACTGGCTCTGACCATAGACCTATTCTAATTCAATGCAAGGACGATAACCAGCAGGGGCCTAAATACTTCAAGTTTTTAAATATTTGGACTAATCAACCAACTTTTTTGCAGGTAGTTGAAGAAGTTTGGAGAAATAGTGTCAATGGAAATCCTCTGTGGAGACTTCAACAAAAGCTTAAAATGCTGAGCAGAAGACTGACTCAATGGTCCAGAGATGACATTGGCAATGTTTTCAACCAAGTTCAATACTGGGAAGATAAAATGAAAGACCTTGAGCAAATGGATCTTGTGAACAACAATGATACAACCAGAACTGAATTGAACAAAGGACAAGCGGAGTACATTAGATGGATGGGGATGCAGGATGACATCCTTAGATAGAAAGCTAGGATGAACTGGTTTGAAGAAGGAGATGCTAACACTAAATACTTCCATAGCACCATCAGAGGGAGAAGGAGAAGGCTGCAAATTCTTAAAATCAAAGACCATAGAGGCCACCGGATTGAGGGGGATGCTAATATTGGCAAGGCAGCTGTCCATCACTTTCAACAATTCTTTAACATCAATCATCACTACAATGATCTTGACATCATCAACTGTATTCCTCAATGTGTAACTGATGCAGATAATGAAAGTCTCACTGCCATTCCTGACACAGAGGAGGTTAGAGATGCTGTCTTCAACATGAGTCCTGACAGTGCAGCGGGGCCGGATGGATATAATGGAAAGTCCTTTCAATCCTGTTGGGATATCATTAAGGAGGATATCACGGATTTTGTTCAAGCTGTTTTCAATGGCAGGAGGCTCACTAAATTTTTTTCTCATACTTGTTTAGTTCTTATTCCTAAAGTTGAATCTACTAGTAATTTCTCGGACTTGAGACCTATTAGTTTGAGTAACTTTACAGCCAAGATTATCTCCAAGATCCTTTTCAGAAGGCTGAATCCTATTCTTGGGAAGCTTATATCAGAAAATCAAAGTGCTTTGTCAAAGGAGATTGATTATTGAAAATATCCTTTTAGCTCAGGAGATTGCTCTGGGTGTGAACAAGAAGAACAGAGGAGGCAATGCTATTATAAAACTTGACATGGCAAAAGCTTATGATAGAATTTCCTAGACCTTTCTGATAGCAGTTATGAGGAAATTTGGTTTCTCTAAGAATTGGATTGACATGATCTGGGGACTTCTACAAGATATATGGTACTCTATCATTATCAATAGGGCTAGAACAGGTTTTTTTTCACATCTACTCAAGGCCTCAAACAGGGAGATCCCTTATCCCCTTCTCTGTTTATTATTGGAGCTGAGGTTCTCTCTAGATCTTTAAATACTCTAACTGACTTTATTGGCTTCACTCCTTTTAGCATGGATCGAGAGGTCCGATGACCAATCATTTAGCCTACGTTGATGATATTATTATATTCTGTGGTGGAAATAACATGACTCTCAAGTTAATCAAAAAGGCTATTGACAGGTATGAAAAGGCTTCTGGGCAGAAAGTTAACAATGATAAGCGCTTCTTTATTACAGCCCCCCACACCGGTGCTGCAAGAATCAATAGAATTAGGAATGCTACAGGCTATATGGACAAGTCTTTTCCTTTCTCTTATTTGGGACGCCCCATTTATCTTGGGAGGAAAACTAGCAATCTTTTTGACGGTATGCTCTCTAAGGTGGTCAAGAAACTTAGTGGATGACAAGCCAGTATGATGTCCTCTGGAGGGAGAATGATTTTGATTAAACATGTCTTACAATCCCTCCTCACATACATCCTATCTGCTATGAACCCTCCTAAAGGAATTACTAAGCTCATGGAGAAACACTTTGCAAACTTCTTCTGGGGTACAAATGAAGGTAAAAACAAATATCATTGGTCTTCATGGAATAATCTTTGTCTCCCCAAAGATGAGGGAGGAGCTGATGTCAGAAAAATGGAGGATATCATAGATACACTTAGCATTAAAAGATGGTGGAGATTCAGAACTCATCCTTCCCTATGGGCCAACTTTCTCAAGAATAAATATTGCAAAAGAGCCCATCCAGTGAACACAAAGTTAAATCCCACTGATTTCTCATATTTGGAGAAACATGCTCAAAATCAGAGACAAAGCCGAGGAAAACATTAGATGGGAAATACAGAAAGGTAATTGTAGCTTTTGGTGGGATAACTGGATAGGTAAAGGTGCGTTGGCCAAAATCTTACAAGGTAGTGGGAGATCTTCTAAAGTTTAGGTGAAAGACTTCATAATTAATGGAGAATGGAATATTGTCAAACTCAACGATGTTCTCCCCGTGCATATTATGGATAGTATTGCTCAACTGGATATAGGAGACCCAAATTAGGATGATTTCCCTGTTTGGACTACTTCTAATGATGGGATATTTTTTCTAACTCAGCATGGCATTCTATTAGATTCAAGAAACAGAAGAATATCTTCATAAACAAAATCTGGCATAATCCTCTCCCCTTTAAAATGTCCTTTATCTCTTGGAGAATTTTCAAAAATAGACTGCCTTTTGATGATGTTATTTGTAGATTTAGTACTAACATTATTTTCAGATGTTCTTGTTGTTCTTCTGCGCAGGTAGAAATAGTTCAACATGTCTTTAATAGTAGTGAAGCTGCCATCTTCGTATGGAACAACATAGGAAATGCATTTGGAATTAAACATCAGCAGGAGCCTATTATTGCTACCTTCAAAAGATGGTGGGAGACAACAGCAAACAATAAAGTGCACAATCAAATGCTTCAAATAACTCCCACAATCATATGCCGGGAACTGTGGAAACAAAGAAATGCATGCAGATATGGAAAATAGAAGAAGTTTCAGCTGAACTCGATGAGACACCAAATCACCTGGACATTGAAAGCGGCTATCTCCAACATGGTACCAGGTGACTACAATCAGATGGAATGGCCCCTAATATGTGATAAGGTCGAGAGACTCAGACCATCTCAGAAATGGATACAAGTTACATGGGAACCTCCTCTACCCGGCACTGTCAAAATTAATACGGATGGAAGCTTTTGCAAAAGTGGTAAGGCAGGCATTGGAGGAGTGGTCAGGAACAGTCAAGGGGACCTTATTACGGCTTTCTCTATTCCTATCAGTTGTGATGATAATATCATGGCAGAGGCTAAAGCAGCAGAGTTTGGAGGGAAATGGTGTAGTCAGAATAGGTACACTAATTTCTCTATCGAACTGGACTCAAAGATCATAGTGGATATGCTCACGGATGGAAATCCTAAAAACATGAAGATTAAAAAGGTTATAGACAGAGCCTCCCTCATTATTAAACAAACTAGAGCTACGGTCAGGCACTATTTCAGAGAGGGGAATCAGGTAACGGATTGTCTTGCTAAATTGGCTATAACCACAAATCAGAGAAGGGTGTATCATTCACTCCAAGATTTCCCTAGCAATGCAAAATGACTCTTTCTCCTTGATAAATGGCATCTTCCTAGTATAAGGACAAAGTATGAAAAATCTAATTTCTTTGTTAGTGAATTTTGTTCATAGGTCTTAGGAAGGAGGGTGTATATATAGGAACCTCCTGTCATTCTTTTGGGGTGATTACATCACTGTTGTTGTATTTTGTGAGGTCAGGTCTAGCTCCCCTCTTGTGCTTTTTTAAATACAACACAACCTAGACGGCTGTCTGGGAAACTTTATAAAAAAAAAGAGTATATGTTTATTTGAAGAAGAAGCAATCGTCGCCTCATTCTTAGGCTTCCCATCTCCTTTTTTTCTCCTCTTCGCTTTCTGAACTCTCTGAGTACCATCATTGATTAGTAACTTTTATCACTTGCAAAAACCCTACCTTTCCTTTTTGGTTAAAGTTGTACGCCAACCTTTGTTATCAGGTTTAAGCGTCGATTATCCTCAGAAATTTTTAATATTGAATTGCCTGTAATCCAATGCCAATATTATTGTGCTGTAACGACCCGACCGGTCGTTTTTGGAATTTACGCCCTGATCCCCCCTTAACTGCTTCCCCTAAGTTCATTTCTGCTATTTTGGTTTGCCGGGACGTTCGGTGTTCGGATTCGAAGTGTTTTGGGACACTTAGTCCCTAAATGAGAGCCTAAGTGTTGAAAAATGGTCCGAAGTCGGAACAGTGTGAAGACGACCTCGGAATGGAAATCCGATAGTTCCGTTAGCTCCGTTAGGTGATTTCGGGGTTGGGAGCGCGTTCGGAATGTATTTTGGACATCCGTAGCTCATTTAAGCTTGAAATGCCGAAGTTTGTATTTTTGAAGCTTCCAGCCCGATAGTGAGTTTTTGATCCGAGGGTCGGAATGGGATTCCGGAAGTTGCAGTAGTTCCGTCATGTCATTTGGGATGTGTGTGCAAAATTTCAGGTCATTCGGACGAGGTTCGGGTAGGTTTTTGATCGAAAGCGTGTTTTGTTGGAAATTGAAGTTCTTAGGCTTAAATCTTTAATTAATTCGGATTTCCGGCGTTGTTTAGGATGTTTAAGGATTGGTACAAGTTTGTATGAGGTATTAGGTGTGATTGGTGCTTTTGGTTGAGGTCCCGGGGGCCTCGGGATGATTTCAGGTGGTTAACGGAAGAATTTTCGAAGTGTTGCGGCAGCTGGTTTTCCTCTCTTCTGGTATTTTCGCTTTTACGGCTTGGGAACCGCAGAAGCGGAGCCGCATAAGCAGCCATCCCATCGCAGGAGCGGAATTTGGGCTCCCTTCAGTTTCCGCAGGTGCGGAAGTTTGACCGCAGAAGCGGTTACGCACCTGCGAGGTATAAGTCGCAGATGCGGCCCTGGGTCATTGGTGATAAACCGCAGAAGCGGTAAGTATTTCGCAGAAGCGGCCACCGCAGGTGCGGTTTAAGACCGCAGAAGCGGAACCCCTGGATTTTAGTTAATAGCCGCAGAAGCGGCATTTGTTCCGCATAAACGGGACCGCAAATGCGGTCCCTTGTCCGCAGAAGCGGAAATCCCTGGGCAGAAATAGAAATTTCGAGGGTTTGAGTTCATAAGTTACAAAAAAATCAATTGAGAGCACGGGTAAGGGCGATTTTGAGTGGGTTTTGAAGAGAAGACTATTAGGTAACGTTTCCTTAATCCCTTCTAGTTATATTTCATCATTATATAGTTAAATGTATCATTGGAATTCGAATTTAGGATCAAAAATTGGATAATTTGGGGTAAAACTTCATTGGCTAAATTATGGAGTTTTGAGTGAGCATTTGACCTCCGATTTGGGAGATTTTTATATGGTTAGACTCGTGAGAGTACGAGGGTTCTGAAAATATGAAAATCATTCGATTCCGGGGCGTTGTCCTGGAGGGCATTTTGGTCATTTCACCTAATTTTACGCCGTAGCTTTGAATTTATTAGCAAAACCAGGTGTTTGCGATGTTATTTACAATGTGTAATTGAATTGAATAGATTTGAGCCATTTGGAGTCGGATACTCGTGGCAGGAGTGTGATTTCTAGTTGATATTGAGCCGGTTCGAGGTAAGTGGCTTGTCTAACCTTGTGTGGGGGACCTTTCCCCTTAGGATATGATCCTTCAATATTTGAATGCCTCGTACGTGAGGTGACGAGCGCGTACTTGAGCTAATTGTTGTAAACCCGTTTCTACTTGAAGTGTTTAAATTGAGATTTCTTGTTTACTTGTTCATTTTAACTGTAAGCTTATACCTGTGCTAGCTTAGAGACTCATGTTCAGTTGGCTTACTTGCTTATTTGTTTTAGCTGTGCTATTTGTACTTTGTGAAGCATGTTAGGCTATAATTTACTACTTCTTGTCCTGATTTTTAGCATTGTTCCGAGAATTACGAATTGTTGTTGTTGTGTGTTTAATTTAGGACTACGGGACGGCTTCCCGGGAGT